CCCAGCTACTCAGAAGGCTGAGACAGGAGAATCTCTTGAATCTAGGAGGCAGAGGTTGCAGTGAGCCAAGATCACACCACTGCACTCCAGCCTGAGAGACAGAGTAAGACTCTGTCTCAAAAAACATATATATATATACACAGTATTATAATCTTATGTGACCACCGACATATATGCAGCCTGTCATGACAGACACATCGATATCTAGTGCATGATTGTAGATACACGCATACACACAGAGTCATCTCACAGTGGTTCCAGGACCTCCCACAAATTCCAAAAATCCATGAATGTGCAAGTAAGTCCCTGATATAAAATGGTGGAGTATTTGCATATAACCTACACACATCCTCCCATATTCTCTAAATCATCTCTAGATTACTTATAATACCTAATACAATGTAAATGCTATGTCAATCGTTGTTATACTGTATTATTTAAGGACTAATGACAAGACAAAGGTCTACGTATATTCAGTACAGACATTTTTGATGCACAGTTGGCTGAATTCACAGATGCAGAACCCATGGCCAATTGTATATAGTTTTTAATACATAAAATAAATAGGCTAGGCCTGGCACAGTGGCTCACGTCTGTAATCCCAGCACTTTGGGAGGCTGAGGCAGGAGGATCACAAGGTCAAGAGATTGAGGCCATCCTGGCCAGCATGGTGAAACCCCGTCTCTACTAAAAATACAAAAATTAGCTGGGCATGGTGGCGTGCACCTGTAGTCCCAGCTACTCGGGGGGCTGAAGCAGGAGAATCACTTGAACCTGGGAGGAGGAGGTTGCAGTGCGCCAAGATTGTGCCAGTGTAGTCCAGCCTGGTGACAGAGCGAGACTCCGTCCCAATAAATAAATAAATAAATAAATAAATAAATAAATAGGATAACAATATATTTTATGTTCCAAAAATCCTTTTATTGTCCATAGGCTGTAGCAGACTGACAAGAGAGTCTGTGGCACGTAGAAAAGTAAAGCAAGGGGCTGGGTCTATAATCCCAGCACCTTGAGAGGCAAAGGCGGGAGGATTGCTTGAGCCCAGGAGTTCGAGACCAGCCTGGGCAACATGGCAAAACCCTATCTCTACAAAAAATTAGCTAGGTGTGGTGGCACATGTAGCTTCTGTAGTCTCAGCTACCTGGGAGATGAGGTAGGAGGGTTGCTTGGGTCCAGGAGTTTGAGGCTGCAGTGAGCCATGATTGTGCCACTGGACAACAGAACGAAATCCTGACTCAAAAAAAAGAAGGGTAGTGTCCTTGCTTTAGTTGCCAGATGGTGGGGAAGTGGAGGGTGACTCTTAGGGGAGTGGCCCGGCTAGGGCGGCCTGGGACAGCAGCTCTTTAACAGCTGGAAGGGAAGATCTCAGGTTTTTTTTTTTTTTTTTTTTGGAGACGGAGTCTCGCTCTGTCACCCAGGCTGGAGTGCAGTGGCATGATCTCAGCTCACTGCAAGCTCTGTCTCCCGGGTTCATACCATTCTCCTGCCTCAGCCTCCCGAGTAGCTGGGACTACAGGAGCCCACTACCCCGCCCAGCTAATTTTTTGTATTTTTAGTAGAGACAGGGTTTCACCGTGCTCTCGATCTTCTGACCTCGTGATCCGCCTGCCTCGGCCTCCCAAAGTGCTGGGATTACAGGCGTGAGCCACCGCGCCCGGCCAGATCTCAATATTTTAACCACTGGTTTGGCAGTCCCAGTGAGCACCTTGCAGGCCAGCCCAGGGCATGAGCTGTGGGTTTCCCTGTAGTACTTGGGCTTTCCTGCTCTACCCAGGGGCGGGATGCTCATGACACCCCTAAAGAGTCAAAGCAGGCCAGGCGCGGTGGCTCAGGCCTGTAATCCCAGCACTTTAAGAGGCCGAGGTGGGCAGATCACCTAGGTCAGGAGTTCAAGACCAGCCTGGCCAATATGGTGAAACCCTGTCTCTAAAACAATACAAAAATTAGCTGGGCATGATGGCGGGTGCCTGCAATCCCAGCTACTTGGGAGGCTGGGGCAGAAGAATCACTTGAAACTGAGAGGCAGAGGTTGCAGTGAGCCGAGATCATGTCATTGCACTCCACCCTGGGCGACAGAGCATGACTCCTCAAAAAAAAAAAAAAAGCCGGGCGCAGTGGCTCACGCCTGTAATCCCACCACTTTGGGAGGCTGAGGCGGGCAGATCACGAGGTCAGGAGATCGAGACCATCCTGGCGAACACGGTGAAACGTCTTTTCTACTAATACTACAAAAAAATCAGCTGGGCGTGGTGGCGGGTGCCTGTAGTCCCAGCTACTTGGGAGGCTGAGGCAGGAGAATCACTTGAACCTGGGAGACAGAGGTTGCAGTGAGCTGAGATTGCAGCACTGCACTCCAGCCTGGGTGACAGAGCAGAACTCTGTCTCAAAAAAAAAAAAAAAGTCAAAGCAAAAATGACTGGCCCATTTCAGAGACAAAAGGGAATTGCCCCTTCAAGGTCAACAACTCATCAACGTCAGAGCCAAGACTAGCCCCACCTCCACCCTGTCTTCCTCCCAGGCAGCCTCAAGGTTCCTAGGGACAGTGCCAGGAACTAAATGCAGCAAGATGTACCATTTGCAATAGGACTAGTGCCAGAGGCATGAAGCCTTAAAAGAAGGCATGGGACCAAGGCTTTTCCCAGCCTAGACTCCTCCAAGCCTGAGGAACACAGGCCTCTTTTCAAGGTGAGTGTCAACTGGGTGCCTGCTTCAGAGACGATAACCTCAGAATAGGGACCCTCCTCTCTCTCTGAAGGTGGAAGTGCAGCAGGCCCAATCTAGAACCTCAACCCAGTTCTACTTGGCAGCTGCAGTGAGTAGAACTGTTATCAGGGTGTTGGGAAAAGGTCCTCTTCCTTGCTATAGCTTCTCTGCAGACTTGTAACCCCATAAACTACAACAGCAAAACCACCCCTATACTGTACTTTCTTTCATACCTATGCAGCCTCATCTGCAAACAAATCCCTCCCCTCCACATTCTTGTCCTCATTCTCCTTCTTTACCTTTGTGGCAACTGATAGTTCCTGACCACTTGCTTTGTGATGAAATTTTCCTCCAAAACATGGTTCTGCTCCCACCTCCCTGGAGGCTCACTCCTTCTGTCTCCAGTGGTTCATTTCCTTCCGCCCTGCTCTCAAACACCAGCCTTCCCTAAGGTGATACATTCTCATTCAGGCACCCTCAATTGGGGGATGGGGATTCGTATTATAATAGCATTGTTTGGGAGAGTTCCAGTAATTGCAGGACATTTGGCATTCCTAAATACCAAGAGTGTCAGTGGAGGACCCCATGATCTCAGCCACCATCATAGCTTCAGCAATCATCTTGTGGCTGATGGCCTCAACAATCACCACCTCCAGCCCTTATTCCCCTCCTGGTCTTAGGGCCCGCCTTTACTGTTTTCTGGTAATTTCCTCCATGCCACAGCATGTCCCAGTCTGAAGTCACCCTCTCCTGCTAGCATCCACCCTGATCCAACCTGCATTCCTAAGCCCAGAGATGGCACCCCTAGCCACCTCAGCACCCAAGCCACACACCAGGCAGTCAGCCTTGCCTCCTCCCTCTCTCCAACCCACTCATCCAATCAGCCACCACACCTGAGGATTTCATCTCTTAAAAATGTAAGTTTCATCTGCTTCTCTCCATCTTTGAGGATACTGGCCTAATTCAGGTTCTCTTTCTCTCTCACCAGACTCCTGCAGCACCCTCCTCATCCTCACTGCCCCCTGCCTTTAGTGTGGTAGTGCATGGAGCCAGACTGCCTGAATTCAAGTCCTGGCTCTGCCACTTCATAACTGTGCGATGTTGGCTGGGTACATTAACCTCTCTGGACCTACTTTTTCTGTAAAATGGGCATCATAATAGTGCCTTCCTCAGAAATGACCATGTTTATGAGTTAATACATGCAGAGCACCAAGCCTGGCCCTCAGTAAATCTTGGCTACTATTGTCAGTCTCATTATTTCCAATCTGCCCTTCACTCAGCAGCCAGAGATAATTTGACCATGTCATGCCCACTTAATCCTCCTCAGGGGCTCCCCACTTCTCGGAAGCCCTGCTCCTAAGACTCTGCTGATCTGTCTTCCTTTCATATCATATTGACTCTTGAACACACCTAGGCTTATGCCCATAATCCTAGCACTTTGGGAGGCCAAGGCAGGAGAATCCCTTGAGCCTAGGAGTTTGAGCAGCATAGGGAGCAGCATAGGGAGACCCCATCTCAAATAAACAAACAAACACACCTGACAAATCTTGCCTCTGAGCCTTTGCTTATGCTGTTCCCTGTGCCTAAGCGCTCTTCCCCATCAATTCCCATCACAAGCACCTGCTCCAGTGCCACCTCCTATAAAAATCCTCCCCAGAACCCTCCATACAGAATGACTCTGATTCTTCCTCTCCATGTCCCAGTCCTTTTTTATCCCCTAGGGATGAGTATGTGTTCCTTGTGTCTCACTCATTTCAGAATTCCCAGAATTCAGTGCAGATCCTAGCTCCATCTCCTGCCCCCAGCAAGGGCTTCACAAAATCAAGCTGAATTCCAGCACTTCTGGGCCTCCTAGGGCCAGAACTCCTCAGCCCAGAGGGTGCGTCGGCTCCGGGCCTATCTGAAGGAGGGCCTGAAACTGTAGGGTGTGCTTTCTGCCCACCTCAGTTTCTGAATCTCCTCCATTAAGCAGCCCCCTCCTCTGAGTCTGGGATGGGGGTGGAGGCTGAGGGCAGTGTTATCTGCAGGGCTGCCCAGGCATGGGGGCTCCCCAAGGCAGCTGAGGGCAAGGAGATGGCTCCAGGCCTTAGCCAAAGCCCTGCCACCTTCTATGATGAGGGCTAAAAGCACAACCCAGGGTCCCTCGCACCCTGGAGTTCAGGGTCTTTGTTTCAGCCTCTGTTCTGCCAGGGTTAGTTCTGACTTTGGGCCAAGAGCTTCCCCTCTCAGGGTCTGGGTCTCCTTCATCACAAGAAAGATCCTCTCCAGCTCCATCATGTTCTAAATGCTGACTCTAGATGGTGTCAGGGTACAGAGAATCACGGGACAGGACGACTAAGGGGTGAGAGTGCCCTGGAAGGTGAGAGGTAGGAGAAATTTTTACTGCCTTAAGCACATTCCTGCCTATCCCCGCTCCCTTCTTTGCCCATACACACAGGCTGGCCACACCAGAGAACAGAAAAGGAAAAAGTTTATTGAAAACTATATACAGTTGGTCCAGCTCCTACCATGGGCTGCAATCTCAGCCAGTCCCTCCCACACCTCAGGCAGTGTCTTGGCCCCTCATGGGGAGAGATGGGGCTGGGCCTAGGGCCCAGACTCCCTTGGGTGGCTTGGCAGCTGGAGCCCACCGTGGATCTTTGTAAATTTACAACTCTAAATGGCCTGAAGGTAGCGGGCAGGGGACAGGGAATGGATCCCTGCCTGATCTAGTCACAGCCTTGATAGGGGAACACTATTCTGAAACTTGGGTCCAAGCAGGGCCCAGCTAAGTTGTCCGGAAGTCCCAACTGCTCCTCTCACAGGCCTTCCTAGACATGGAGGCAAACAGCCTCCCTACGACCCCACCCCATGTAGCAGCCCCATGGGCTTCACCGGCTTGACTGGGGACACCAGGTACCCTTCCTCCCAACATTGACTCAGGGTCCGGGGCTCCTGGAGCACTCCCCAAGCAGAGGACTTGGGGTTGAGGGGTGAGTGTTGGGGAGGTCACAGCTCCGAGCCCAGAACCGGAGCCTCCTGGGGTCAGAGCACCCATGGGGTCAGGGCGTCCCGCTGTAGGAATAGTCTGCTTTATTGTGCATCACCAGCCGGTCATCCACGAAGTAGAAGCTGTCAGACTGGGTCTCATACGGGTGACGGATCATCTCGCTGACTGCAAGAGAGGCCCACCAGGCCGGGCAAAGGTCAGGAGCCTGAGTCCGGCCACTGCAGAGGCTTCAGAACTGGGGTACAGGGACAGCCAAACAACCTGAGATATCCCCGGCCTCTTTCTCTACAGATGATATGGGAATGGTGGCAGACACAGAAGAGCCCCAGGGTGGGGAGAAATGGGGTCAGACCCACAAGTCCCCCTCCCTCCCACAGCTCAGTCTCTACACGCCCCCCACTTCCCCACTCCTAGAAGGCCCTGCCCACGCACTCAGCTCCTCGGAGAGAGGGGGGAAGTCGTAGATGTGCTCGCAGGTGTTCTTGCTGCTGGGGATGCAGAAGCCAAAGTGGAAGTCGAAGCTTTTGAGTAGCTGGTTGCGGAAGTAGTGCCTCTCGATCATGCGGAAGTTGTTGACAGGCTTGTCTCCCACTGTGAACTCCACCCTGAGCAAGGGAAGGAGGCAGGGCTGAGTCTGTCCTTGAAGTCAGCTAGCCAGCCAGGCTCAGGACAGGCCACCCCTACAAGAGGCTGAGAAGGGCCCCCTCACACCCTCTCCCTCACCCCCACCACCACCCCCAGCCCAGCGACTCACGTGGCTCCCACCTGCCTCAGGCGGAGGAAGGCAGGTGTGAACTGGTAGCGGACAAAGCGCCCAGCATTGGGGTCCAGGTCCCGCCGGTTGATGGGCAACCGCTCTGCAATGTACCCCAACTGGGGCTCAGTGGGCTTCAGGCTGGGCCCTTGTCCACCCAGGGTTCCACCCCTGGGCCCCTATCTATCTGATTTTTTAAAAACTCCCCAAGAAATTCTGGGGCACATTGAGGGTTCAGACCATTGGCCAGATAGTGCCACCTAGCGGTTCTAGATCTGCAGGTTCCCAATTGCCACTGTGGTTCCGGGGCCACAGGATGCTGAGGCCTGGGACCCATAGGACTGCAGTTCCCAGAGAGCCCTGCAGAGGGCAGGCTGGCAGGGACCGAAGGGGCAGGGCTGACCTCACAAGATGTCCAGCCTCAGAAACATATGGGAAGGAAAAGAAAGGGCCCCCCTGCCTGCAGACTCCTGAGAATGCTGGGGTCCAAGCCCCAGCTCTGTGGACTCCTCTGTGGCCCAAGGAGTCCCTGGGCAGCCCACTCCGCAGCTCATATCTGCCTCGCCGTCAATGGCCCACCCAGCCCACTCACCTGAGGCTGGGGGCTTCTTGATTTCAAAGAGGACAGTGCCTGAGTCCATGTCCCGAATCTTAAACCTGACGAAGTCGATCTTGTAGATATTCTCCTCGGGGGAGCACAGGTAGTCTACGGGAGACAGGCAGCTGAGCAAGGAAGGGGCCCCAAAGCCCCTGCTGCCAGGTCAGCTTGTGTGGGACCCCAGAGTAGCTACCATCTTCTCATCCCTGGGATCACTACCCTCTGGAAAGAGGGACCTGAACCCCTGCCCTTGGGGTACACCCCCAGTGTGGAAGAGACATAACTCCACCATGGGGATCTAACAGGGGATAAGGCGTGCCATCCTGGTGGCCTCTGGGGGCCAGGGAAGGGAAGGGCAGAGAAGGGTAGAGGACAAGGCCACCTCCCGGACGCTCTCCCTCCCACCCTGGAGTTGAGGGTCCTCATTCTGGCCTCTGCTCTGCCAAGGCTGGCTAGGTGACTTTGGGAGAATTGGGTCTCCAGCATGGTGGGAGCCTCTCCTCTCATATGGGAACAACTTCCTGCAGTCTGACCTGTCTCTTCTACTGCAAACTCAATCTATCAACTTCTCTGTTACCCTGCCTTTGAGAACCACACCGTAAAGGGGGCCACACAGCTCTGTCTTGGGAGAGTCACAGTCCTTCTCTGGAGGATACTCCTACCCTCGCCCCACAGCTGCCCCTGGCATGACATCTAGATGTATCAGGTGAGGCTGATGTTGAGGGGACTTTCCCTGATATGGGTGGTGCTGGGGCAGGTGAACAACCCCTTCCCTGTTCCTCCTCCCCTCCCAACCCCCTCCTCTCAGTAAGAAGCTTACACCAGCCCAGCTCCCTTAAGCAGCTTAACCAAAGCTCTGCTGACTCAAGCCCAGAGCCTGGGATATGGCAGGGGGAGGAGGCCAACTTTGCTCTTATCCTTTGTTGATCTCCAAATGGGAGGAAGTCTTAGCAAGCAGAGGGAACCCCCCTTGGAGGTCATTTAGGCAGCCCTGGCTCTGAGCCACCACCATGGAGAAAGTAGTCCCGGACCCCTATAGAGAAGAACACAGGCTAGGCCAGGAAGCGAGTGTGGCAGGTGCAGCAGCGGGTGTGGAAGGGCTAAAGGGAGTCCTCGGGCCCACAAGGGGAACCAAGAACAGTGGGAGGCCCAGCCTGAGGAAGCTCAGGGACCTACAGGGCCCGATCTAACCCTCACAGCTCTTGCAGCAGCAACTTCAAGTGTTCAGGGAGACCCTGGCAACAAAGATAGCTGAGAGGTGCAGGGAGGGACTCTGATGCTGTCAGCCTACACAGCATCACATCCTCCCCTGGTGGCCCACAGAGGCCTGGAAATCACCCTCCAGGCCCCTGGGCCACCTATTCCTCTGGGGCAGGAAGAGGAAGTGAATATAAAGTCATTTTCTCTTCCCCAGGCCTGCTTCTTCCCCAAGCCTGACACAGTCCCCTCCAGGAAGCCCTCCTGGCAGCCGTCTGGTACCTGGGGCCCGGCATGGACTTTATACAGCTTGGGGAAGAGTCTACTACAGCCCACGTGTGGGGTGGGGAGAGATTGGAAGTGGGCAATCCCTATCTCACGCCATTCACCCTATTTTCACAGAAAGTAAGCACCAGTATAAAGACATAGAAAGAAGGTACAGAGCATAGGGAATAGAGTGGCAGAGTGGGGAGCAGGATCCCAGTGCCCAACTCCCAGATCCCTGTAAGGCCTTCTCTTCTCCCATTCTCCAACTTTTGGAGCCTCTCTCATTTGGGAACAACTTTCTGCAGTCTGACCTCAGTCTCCTTCTACTGCAAACTCAATCTATCAACCTCTCTGTCCTTAGAAGAAGTGAGGAACAGGGATGTCTATGGCTCAGAACACCATGGCCACTCCTTCCCTTCTAGAAAGGATGAGGCCTGGGACCCAGGGTCAGGTCAGAATAAGGAGCAGAGTGGCCAAGGGCTCAGAACACAACTGCTCTATTCCTCTCAGCCACAAATAGCTTCCTAAGCTGGATTCAGGGCCCAGTAATCTGGGAACAGCAAACCTCGGACCTGCGTGATTAGGGTCAGAAGAGACCAGCAAGAGGTGCCAAGGTGGAAATCCCTGGAACTCTGTTCTCAACTCCTGCACAGGAAGGGGTTCCCATGAAGCCCTTTCCTCTACTCACCCTCCACAGATTCCCCATCTCTAAGGGCTATGAATTGCCTCCAAATTAGGAGACAAATGGTGGTACATGAGCTGGAAGCTCCCTCTACTTGCAAAATCAATCCCCCAAGTTACTCAGGGCTCAGTCTGACCTCTGGACTTCCTCTGAGACAGTCCTGCCCCAGAGCTAAGCTGAATCCTAAATGCTGCTGTTGCAAATTGTAGCCCAACTGGCTTCAACATCAGCCTGGTCCAGCCTCCCTCCCTCCATCGACGCCTGCTTGGGCAAGGGAGCTCAGTACTCTGGGGGCCCAGCCAAGAATGGCTGCTGCCTAACTCAGTAAGGATAGAGGAGTTGGCCCCCAGGGACCCAGGAGCACAGGCTCAAGGCTGCCTCCCCTCCACAGCTCTGTCTGGGAGCCCTGTGTTCAGCTGCTTTGGAAGCTCTAGGGCTCAGGTCCACTCCAATATATGCACCCCATACCCACAGAGAGGCCCCCCAACAATTATTCTCACAAAGGGGGCCAGGGCAGGTTGCTGGTGAATGTGGCCAAGGTGGAGAGCCACTGTCTCTTCATCCTTTGAGGCTCAGCCAAGGCCTCTGCTATGAGGTTTCCTAGCCCTCGTTCCCTGCCTATGATGACCCCCTCCCCTGCCCTGAAAGCCAGGTTGTTTGACCCCAGGCAGCAGCCATGAGCAGCCCTGTAGGGCCCAAAATACTACTGATCAAAGAGCCCAATGTACACAGCATGCATAGATGCCAGGCACTGTACAGAATCAGAGGACTTATCTTCACAATAACCTTACGAGATAGATACCATTATCCCCATTTTACAGATGAAAAGACATGCTGAGAGGTCAGGTTACTTGCCCAAGTTCACACAGCCAATTATATGCAAAGTTGGAACTCCAGCCCAGGCAGTCCAGCTCAGAAACTCTTAACCACAGTGGAGACCAAGCCTCCCTTGATGACAGAGCCCCTAGAATAGGACAGGCGCTAGTCCAGGCTTGGGGGGACGTTAAGCCACTCCCCATGAGAAGGAACCACAGTCGACACTCTGAAGCTGCCTGCTCAGTTTCTTTCCTGGGGAAGAAAATGGCCCAAGTATTCCTGGAGGATCAGGGTGAGGGTATTAATGGCTGGGGAGACATGACGAGTCTGAATGCCTCCCAAGTAACTCAGCCTCCACCTAGCCTCCAGGGTGGGGGCTGAGGACAAGCTGCACTCAGCCCCTCTCCTCATTAGTGCAGGGGCGGGCCTCAAAGCGCTCTGAAGACTCCACAGAGGCAGGGCTACAGTTGCAGCTGCTGCCGCACGCACCTCCACGCTGGGAAAAGGGGACGGACCCCCGGAAAAGGAAGGAATAAATCTTGAAAGGGAGAAGAAAAGCGCACAGAGAGAGAGATCAAGGGAAGGGGGTACACAGAGATCTCAGGCTTGGTGGCAGAAGGGAGAGTAGGGGACACAGGGGAGGGAGACTC